CAACAGTAATATATATTGTCAACTCGAGCGAATTAGCTGACCACGTAAGAAATTTCTCTTTCCTTCAAGGTTAATCTGTTTCTGATTATTTCGGATCGTTAACACGGTGTAGACGCCTCATGAGCTACTCGATGAAGATAATGTATAAGAGAGTGTGTAATATCTGTTATCTAGAGACGAGATAATCCTCGCTTGTTTTCTTAACGAATGTACTATTATAATTGAGAAATAGCTAGGCTTATGTTATCTTCTAGGCTGGGCCATTATACCTGTTGTTTCAGCAAATAAATGGTACTGTTTATCACCAGGAAGTAATTTGAATTAACGTGGTAATGTGATAACTTGCGTGGAAATACTCTTGAAAAGGGCAATAGACTCATTTTATTTCACGTTAATGGCTGTTTTGCTCGACCCTTTCTTTTTAGCCATTGGAAATGCTATTTTTAAATAATGTAGCTTGTAGTGAAAATCACTATAACTAAGTAAATAGATATAATGTACGTCCTTATTAATAATTTAATCATTATTTATATTTATATATTTAATCATTATTACATGCACTCTTAATAAATTTTATCTTATCAATCCTGGTGGGTAGTAAAGTAAAAGCCAAATTAATCTTAAATAATCATCAAATACGTTTATTATTGATTAGATGGTCAACGCGTCACCAGTCCATCAAAAATTATGTTCAGCACAATTTAAACGCTCTGAGAAAAAAGTTAGCTACGAACATGTATAACGGAAAAATTAAGCTGATCAAGTCAGTCAAACAGGTGTAGGCGTAGTACATAGACATTAATTCCCTGCCCTCCCGGTAGTACACCCTGTCTGGCAGCGTCGCTCTTCCATCATACCTCTGACCGCATGAGAGCAGTGATGGCAGACACACATCGAGAACGTGAACCCGGGGAGCTGAAGCTGAGAAGCGTATTGAAACCTTTCTCCGTCACTCTAAGCTTTAAGGGCAAATGCACGGGAAAATATGTAATATGTGAAGTATACCTAATAGGTGCGCAGAATTACCTGGGTTGAGATAAATATACCCACATTAAGAAAATGATACATGCCTCCTCTACCCACTACAGACCTCCAATTTTTTGCAATCAAAAAAAAAATATGAAAATGATTAGGAGCCTCTGAAACGGAAAAAAGACAAAGGTTAGCGATTCTCATTCCTTCTGTTTTTTTGCCCGTAGTTCCGCCGCCACTGATTAGATTTTCCAGAGCTGTGACGCGAAAAACTAATCAAAATCCAAACAGTACTTTCCAAGTTGGAAACGGGTGGAGTATTAGCGGACTTCCTCAGCAGTCGCGTAGCAAGTAATAATCCAAGTGAAGTATCAGAAGTTAATACTATTGGCAAGGAGCATGTAAATCAAATACTTTGTGTTTCAAAATTCAAATTTAGCCTATGTAATAGACCTACTTGTATCTTCATTACAATGCGCCCATAGTAAGTTAATGACAAATGTTAGAAAAAACAATATAGTGATTTATAAGCAAAATCAATCTTTAGAACGTTGCAGATATCAACATATGTGTTTTAAATTGACGGAGAAATAACGGAAACAAATGGATAAAGCAAATGTGATTTTTATTGAAATACTTCCTCCACCTATTTACTTACTGTAGTATACTAAGTGACATATAAAAACGAACACTCTGTTTGAATGGTTTTATTTTAATAAAATTTTGTATAAGTACTTAATGAAGCATAATAAGTAAATGATAAAAATTTCAAAATGATTGCATTGCTTTAAAGCCCTTTGAACTTTAATAATGTGTGGATGCACCCTGATGTGCTACGCATTCTCCAACGCGCCTAGGCATGCTTCTGATCAGGTGGTCAATGTCCTCCTGTGGTATCTCATTACAGGCAACCACCAACTCCTCTCGAAGTGCTTCTAGAGTCTGAGGAGGACGTTGCAAATTGAGCAATCTCCTACCCATCATATCCCACACGTGCTCAATTGGGGATAAGTCGGGAGATCTTGGTAGCCATGGTAACAATGTGACATCAATATGTTGAAAGAAGTTTATTGTGACTCTTGCAACATGTGGTCGGGCATTATATTGTTGGAAAGTTGGATCTGCCAGGGTGTCAACATAGGGTAAAAGATGGGGTTCAAGAACTTCGTGGATATAACGCTGCGCGTTCATGTTACCTCTGATGAAGATTAAAGGTGACCTGGAACCATAAGCTATAGCACCCCAAACCATAACTCCAACAGTGTGATGAACATGTCTTACAACAATAAACTGTGGATTCCTCCTTTCACCACGTCGCCTTCTAACCCTGGCACGACCATCGTGCATGCCTAAACAAAATCGAGATTCGTCACTAAAGACAATACTGTTCCATTCCTGATCCCAGAGTGACCATTGTCTGCACCACTCAAGGCGATTACGTCGGTGTTCTCGAGTTAAAGGGAGGACCCAGTGTGGCCGGTATGAAAACAAGCCAAAACTTCTCATTCGTCGGTGTAATCACTTCGCAAGCCAATAGGTCATCCGTGTTCTTCAAATCATTCATTTGCAATGGACCTGGTAGTGGAGAAACGGTCCCTTAAGGCCAATAATCTTAGGCGGCGATCTTCACGGTCTGTTGTTCTACGGTGGCGTCCAGTGCCCATTGCTCTTTGCGTACGGCCTTCTCGAAGCCATGCCTGACAACACCTAACCACAGTATCTACACTGCTTTGCACTCTAACTGCAATTGCCCGAAAAGAAAGTCCAGCTTCCCGAAGTCCCACTATACGGCCCCTATCAAACTCACTAAGTTGACGAAATCGTACAGGTCTCCGTACTCTAGGCATCGTAACCGATCGTAAAGGATGTCAAGAACCAAAATCCGCCAACGTTGATTCTTTACTGCGGCTGAAATATTCATTTTTAGAGCGTTAGTGGATTAAAACAAAGCAGTATAAAAACCGGAATGTCCAACTGATAAGGCTGAAAATTTTTTCACTTGTTATTTACAGTAAGATAAATACATTCACCAACTTTTATTAAAATAAGACCATTTAAATTGGGTGTTCGGATTTATATGTCACTTAGTATATTTTTGCTACAAAAATCTGAAAAAATAATGCAATAATATTTTCTCTCGAAGCAATAAAGATCCCCACTTAACCTTAATAAGTGATAATGTGGGACTTCAAATATGTAGGCTGGAAATTCGGCTCAAACCTTATTAGCACCAGGCTTTTTATTTGTTTATTAATTGGACCGCATTATGAATAACTGGACCAAGCAGACAAAAGTATTTTCAAGGTGAATGAATAAACTGTTGTGTGTAGGAAAATCTATCTGTTTACTTACAAATAGATTTCAAAAAACCGAAACTGACATATTCCAATAGCAAGAGCGATCCGATCGATTCGACTAATACTTTGCGAGTGAATTGATATCGTTTTTCTGGATGTTTGCATTCCAAGCTGTATAGTGTCTTTTATATCATGCAACGGCTGTAGAAGTGGACACAGTAGAATATCTAGACAGTCTTAAATGTTTCAAACTTGGAGAGAAGTAGAAAAAATAGTTTTTCTGTACCGAACGGCGACAACTTCAATAGTATTCACGAGCAAAACATATGACATGAGACAATACTTGAAGCTTGAATAGTGCACTATTTTGTACGTTTTTTAATGGACTTTAATCTACTGCGGTACACCAGCGTCTCAAAGCATCAAAGAACATACAGAATAAGCTAAAATGCCTTCGAAACAAACGTTTCAAAAGCCTGACTTCAAAATGAGAAAAATATTTAAAGCAAATCTTCGGATAAAGTCTTTTGTTCCTCAATATATTCCTACCACTTACTGGTCCTAATTTCAACAACCTTTTTACAATGTTACTGTGAATTAATACTCAACGCACAGGTAAAGAGAAGGTTGATTTTGCTCTTCCCACGCAATGCTGCCATCAGCCTATAAAGGATTATGTTCGGCACAAGGTAGTCCCACTGACATAAACCGACAATGAACACGTAAATTAAAAAAATTACCAAGTCAGTCAAACAGGCTCAGCAAATTAGTTCATAGTCCCCTCCCACTTGACAACGTTGCGATCTAGACAACTTCCCCCTACTCTACCGACATCTTGCTATGACTAACCTCGCCACGTGCCAGCCACCCATTGGTTAGGCAAGGGTCGATTCCCGGCGCAGATATATCGACGTTCGTCGCATTGCCTCTATTGGAAATATTTCTCCATCATTATAGGTCCTAAGGCTAAATGTACGGTGAAATCTATGATTTGTGAAATATGTGTAATATGTGAGTAGAATTACCCAGGCTGAAAGAGTATAAATATGATAACGTCAAGAAATTCAGATATACTTTTCCCCACCCCTACATCTATTTATTTTAGCTCCTACTACAATTTTTCTGTAAATGATCAGGGGCGTCTGAAGGGTCAAAAGAAACGAAGTTTGAGCGAATTTTGTTTCTTTCATTTTTTGCCTGTAGCTCCGGCGGCACTGCATCGTTCTTGAAAAACTACAGTGCTCTTGCATCCTATCTGATATCGAAATTTCATCAAAATCCGACCAACACTTCCCAAATAATAACGGGGCCAGAATTAGCGAACAGACACACAGACAGATCAACGGAGGTAAGTATCTCATTTTTAAATTTTCTCCCAATTACAATACTTCCAGAATAATTTCAGGAAGTGAAAGAAGTTTAAATATTTTACTGCGATGACACAAAAATATGTTATAACGCGGCGGAAAGCGCTTTTGAGGTGCCTATGGTGATTATTTTGATCCTTTTCGAGAATATATTTTTCCTTTCTTATGAGCGGGGTTGCTATACTTGCTGTTTTGGTTCCGAAACTAGAGTTGGAACCTATTCAAAGAGGATCCATTAAAAAAACTAAGAAACACCTGACAAATTCATAATAAACTGAAAAGTGGTTAATAAAAATAATACAATTATTGACTGTAAACCAAAGTAATCGAAGATTGTTGAGAATAAATAAGATTCTTCCCTCACCTGCTTACTCCACAAAATACACCCCATAGCGATCCTAAGAATCCTGCGCTTATCACGAGCAACACCGTCGCGCGTAAACAGCCAGATGCCGGAGACCGGAGCGGACAACGGAATGATGCCCGGAAATCGAAAGCACTCTACAGTGTGTCTCGCGAGCGCGGAACGACTGATCGTCTGCCTTGCCGCCGCTAGCAATCTCTCAATGAAAGCTAATGGCGCTCACCTCTTTCTTACTTCCCCAGTTGCACCAGCACGATACCAGATATCACACAGGTGAGACAGAGGCGCGCAAACCACCTGTGGAAGGGGTGGCCAAGCATTTCGTTTTGGCCGAATTCTTTTGGCAATAGTAATGCTGGCTGGCGAGCTTTCCAAGTCTTTGACCTTACATGTACTTAATTCATTATTGAATGGGCAAACTCTGTTGACCGTCTTATCGTGTGAATAAGCTGTTTACATATACCGGGTGTAACAAAAGTAACGGAACATATCTTTGAAAAAGGTTATGGTCATGTGTATACCAGCTTTGAACGGGAAAATCAATGGTGATCATGTATCTTGAACCTTACCTTCAAAATCATTCCAAGATCAACTCTTCTAGGTGACACCGGCAATGGAAAATTGTAGATTCTCCGATACCATTGTGACCTTGAAGATGAGGCTCATTGAAATGCTTGCTAAAAATTATTGCAGGTTTGACCATCAATAGTCCTCCTGTACTTCTAAGAATTTTCCATAGGCCAAGGATTTGCGGACAGGCCGAGAGGAAGACAGAAGCATACATGATCATGTAACATCCAAAAAACATAATATCTCATTTTCAAAATATTTCGTGATTTCAATTCTTCCAACGCCAATAGGCGTGGTAAACAAAAAGTGAAACTGACCTTGAAATAACCTTGAAAGTGAGGATCAAGGTCAAGTCCAAGGTCCGTAATGAACTCCCTATTCAAAATTAGTATAGGACTGACTTTGATGTTTTTCAAAACCAACACTATACCTCACATACTTATCTACTGATATCAAGGCAACTGATTATACGGGGTGGCGCATCGAAAACGAAACAGACGCATTTAATGGCAGCTCAGTTTTTTTTTTTTTTGAAAACGCTCAGACCCGTCGATTTTGTTTTCGAGGGGGACACAAGTTTGGCAAAAAATTACGTGCAGCCCCCTGGGCGGGGGGACACCAACTCTAAAATCTTAAATGGAAAGGGGGATCGAGTGATACCTTATTTTAAAGGTCTTTCAATTCCCTTTACAATGATGTAAAATACATGAGGCTTAGTTCAGTAGTTTTGAAGATTTATTGATTTAAAGCTTAAAGTAGACTTTAATAGGTACATCAGATTAGTTTGTACTACTTTCAGAAGAAATTTGACTAAAAGAATTTACTTAATAAGTAAACGCTTTTATTCACTACGCCCATGATTTGTTTATCATTTTGTTGTTGAAAATAGCTAAAAAAGTTATTTCTTGAAGAAAGATAAGGAAATGTCTCGTACTGATTTTAAATAGGAATTTAATACATAGTTTTCGATTGATTTGACCAAATTTTGTTGCTAGAATAACTTGTAACGCTTTATTACATAAATTAACCATGGTATATTCCACAGCAGAAAGACTTGAAATTATCGAAATATTTTTCGGAAATAATCAGTGAGCTAGAACAGCAGAACTATTTAATGAGCGACATGAGAACAGTAACGTGCATCGAAAATATGTTCTAGAACTTGTAGCTTAATTTCGGAAAACTGGGTCAATCGCCAATAGAAAACGCAATATTGAAAATCCCATAAGGAACGAAGCAATAGAAGTGGGGGTTTTAGGGCAAGTTTATGTAGATCCTACGTTAAGTACCTGCAAATTGGAGACTGAGTGTGGTGTTAGTCGACGTACTGTCCAACGGATTCTAAAGGCCCATAGTTTTCATCCGCATAAAATTCACCTGGTACAAGAACTTAATGAAGACGATTTTGATCGGCGATTACAATTTTGTGAAGGTATGAGTGAACGAATTATAAACGATAAACATTTTCTATTCAACACTTGCTTCTCCGACGAATGTTCCTTTTTCTTAAATGGCGTAGTAAATCGTCATAACTGCTGATATTGGTCCGATTCTAATCCCAGAATTTATCATGAGGTTCATACACAGCAGCCACAAAAATTAAATGTTTGGGCTGGTATTTTTGGCAATCATTTAGTTGGTCCGTTTTTTCTTACCTGGAAATTGAACCGGTGAAATGTATTTGGAATTACTGCAAGACGCCATAGGTCCTGCATTAACAGCCATAATTGAAAATCAGAATGATCGGCGGTACATTGCGAATAGGTTGATGTTCCAACAGGATGGTGCCCCACCACATTACACATTACGTGTTCGACAATATTTAGATCAGACGTATCCAGATCGACGGATTGGTAGAAGAGGTGCTATTGAATGGCCCCCAAGATCGCTAGATTTATCACCTTTGGATTTCTTTATGTGGGGTCATTTAAAATGCAAAATATAAGCTACTCAGCCAACATCATTAGAAGACCTGCGGCAAAGAATTGTGAATGAGTGCCTTCAAATTACTTCTCAAATATTGCAAAATATGCGGCAACGTTTTGAGCAAAATCTTTATTATTGCATGGAGAGTCATAGTGGCCATTTTCAACATTTACTTGCCTAACGGGTCAGTTCATTCTTCATTTTTAAATTACTTTGCTGCCAAATGTATTGATCTCCACTAATGATGATGTATTCGTTATATTTAAGCTTTAAATCAATAAGTCTTCAAAACTACTGAACTGAAGTAAGTACATTAATTTTATATCATTATAAAGGGAATTGAAAGACCTTTAAAATAAGGTATCACTCGACCCCCCCTTTCCATTTAAGACTTTGTGGGTGGTGTCACCCTCGCTTAGGGGGCTGCACATGCTAACGTGATTTTGTGCCAAACTTGTGTCCCCCTCGAAAACAAAATCGACGGGTCTGAGCGTTTTTCCAACAAAAAAACTGAGCTGCCAGTAAATGCGTCTGTTTCGTTTTCGATGCGCCACCCTGTATAATAATAAACTAGCTCCAACGCAGTGGTGCCATACACCCATTTCATATTGCACTGACCTGGTGCGTACATACATAGACAAGCACAATATTCATGGTTCGAAATAATTCTTTTGAGATCGGGGTTCGAACCCGCGGGCCTTCCAGTCGAGGCACTATAGGCCGACACCGTAACACCTAGCCCCCTAACTGTGATAATAGACAACATCAGAAATTTGATATGGCAATACAGGGAGATTAGTTAGATAGATATACATCGGGATAAGCAATGGCCATGCGTTTCAACAAGCAAGCTTTATTTGGATTCTTATTTCTGAATGATTTTCGTTTCCTACATGAAGAATTATGGTTGGCGAGCAGCTTAAAAGCTTATGCATGTTGCACTGATGTCGTTTTTTTATCCCAATAAGCATCGACAAAAGCATCACCAATGCCTGTCAGATTCTAATTTTAAAATCTTTCGACAATTCTGATGAGATCAAAAATCCCTGGTGACAGAATAAAAGCAATCCAACTGAATTTTATAATAAATTCTACAGTGCCCTAACAATCACAAATCTGCAACACTTCTGATGCTAGAATGTCAGAACAAATTCTAGTTGTTGCATTAAATTAAATATATTAAACACCCTCATTAAACAAAATTCGTTGACAAATCGTGTAAAGAAATCTAGTTCTGTATATTAATGGTTTCCACGAGGCATTAGTAAAATTTTTAAATAACAAAGGGTAATTATCCTACCTTACCATTAATTGCTTCGGCATTGGAAAGACAAAATTTTTTATTAGCTTACAATTGTTAGATTTCCCTACATTATACTTAGTTTTAATGAAATGGTCGTAAATTACAATTTCTATTAATAAATTAGGTGCTGCTACTATGAATGATGTTACCTTGTAAATTTCCTTCAACCCTGATCTTGATATTGACAATGTAGTATCTGAATGCAAGACTTAATGGGCAAAGACTGAAAGAAAAATAAAACTGTCATCATATACTTGTTATTTAACTAGTCTGTCGGTCTGTCCGCAAATCCTTTGCCCGTATACAACTTCGAATGTACTGCTCAAATTTAGTTGAAATTTTTATGTAAAATTACTACTATGCCAAGGACTACATTAGTAGTTTTTGAAAATTGGTTCAAGGAAGGCGAGAAAGAATGCCAACAACGAAAAAATAAAAGTTGCTCAAACTTTTTTACGTTTCAGAAGATCCTGATTATTTTTGTAAAAAAAAATTCTTAGAGACCAAAAAATTAGTGTCAGGGGATTGTAGAGGGGTAAGGGAGGAAGTATCGCAATTTTTTGATGTTATTATATTAATACATTAATAAAAAAAAAAAAATTCGGCCGACGGATTGTATTTTTATCGGTCGCACTTGCCGTACTAGGGAATTGTAAATATTGCATCTTTGGTGGTGTATCTGAGAAATATACAAGCAGATAGCGGACGACCCGGTGACACAATATGCACATACGAGGTGGACGCGATACCATCTATATATATAATATATATAGGTATATATATATATATATATATAGGTATACAGGGTTATCCAAATTAAGTGTCCACCATTAGTAACTTTGTTATTAGTGAAAATACAAAGTTGTTTGAATTAGCAAACTAGTAGCATTTTTAACCCTGGTAAAAATGAGAAATAAAAAAAACAATTGAGAGTCGTTATTTTGATTTTTTTCAGTAAAATAACATTTTTTTAAATGGAAACCCCTGTATATTATATTTTTTTCTGTTAAAGCATCAAATTTTAAACAAAAAATCTTACAATAACTTTTCTCCTAGGTTACAGATTGTTGAAGTTATGGCCTCCAATCTGAAACAATTAAATTGTATCGACAAACTTTATTTTCAACATCAACTTATAATCTTACAAAATACAATAACAATTTTTTTTAAAGAAGATGCTCGAAAACACCACCTTGTTCTTCAATACATTTTTGGGCACGTTTTTCAACTGCTCGAACTGTCTTAAGTATGGTCCTACCATCTATCTGGGTTATCTTTTCCCTAACTGCAGTCTTTAACGCGTCAAGGTTATCGTACCTTCGCTTGTAAATTTGGTTCTTTAAGTAACCCCACAAGAAGTAATCAAGTGGATTTAGATCTGGTGATCTGGGAGGCCACTGTATTGGGCCATTTGATATTATTATATTTGATAAGTACCTCTGGAGTTGTGGGTAGGTGCGCCATCTTGCTGAAAATGCAGATGATGTCTACTTATAAGATCCAATTCGTCTAAGAAATTAGTCAGAATTTCTGACATAAATTCCACATATCTTTCACCAGTTAGGGTTCCCTCATAAAAGAACGGGCCAACAATTT